CGCGCGCGTTCCGGCCCGCCCACGCCGCTCGGGGCTCCGGCTCGCTTTCCCTCCGGTCGCCGCGCGCCATGGCCCGCCTGCTGGTGCTGCTGGGCCCCGCGGGCAGAATTAGCGCCCGGGGCGGGCCTCGCGCCTCCTGGCTCCTGGGCGCCGCGGCCCCCTGCGCCCCGCCGCCCCTGTTCCTGCCGCTGCTCCGACCGGGGTCAGACGCCCGACTGCTGTGCGCGGCCCGCGGGGACTGCGGCGGCCACCAGGTAAGCCTCTCCATGCCACCCCCGACTCCGGCGCCCTGATCCCGGGTCCACTTCCGCCAGAGGAGAGCTTTGCCCGCGAAGTTGCCCGAAACCAAGCACCTCCAGGGCCCCGGACCCCACATCTCTGCCAGCCGAGGCGGCGATCCTCCCAGCTGACGGCTGAGAAACCGACCGGCAAGTTTAGCCATCTGCCCAGGTCGGCGTCTCCAGTGGAGGCGGGCCCGGGTTCCCAAAGGGCCGGCCGCCGAGCAAAGTGTAGGTGAGGCCTTCGCTTGGGGTAAGTTGGCCCTGAGTCGTTCCCTTTTGAAGTCACGTTAGGGCCTCCTCACTGGGAGTTGTTAGAGACGAGCTAACCTTATCTAACCAAAAGCGCAGACTTCAGGCAAGACTCCCGCAAGAACTGGTGTTATTTCATTGCGGTTGCCTTCTCTGTATAGTTAGTGGAAACCGGTTCCATTCAGAATGGTAGTAAAGGCATGTATATATATAATTATATATAATAAAACAATTGTTTTTCCTTAAAGAAAAAGTCTAATGGAGAGAGGGAACTAACAAGTTGTGTTGGGACATGCAGAACCCGGCCTCCTGCCCCACCAGAGTCTCAAGCTTGGCACCCGGCAGTCCCTTTGCCTGGGTACCACCATCAGGCCCAGCTCTCACCAGTGGTGTGACCTCACCCCAAGGCTGAAGACCTCTGAGCTGACCTTTCAGGGGCTAATAATAGCACACCCCAACAAGAGTTTAAGGGACAAGTCTATGAGCTGATGCAGGCCTGAGCATGGTGCTAACCTAGCTAGCACTTGCTGAACAAATGTTCGGTGGGCATTGGACCCATGTCCTTACCATGCCTCCTGCACAGATGGAGAAACTTCCTTCCCTGCCATCTGCTCCCCCATCAGACAGATCTTGTCTCTAAGTCCTGAGCCCAGTTTGGGGGTCCTCGGGGGTCTGGGACCCTCCACACACACCCAGCTGCTTCCTGTGATTCTTCATGGCTCAGCCCTTCCTCCAGGAAGCCTTCCCTGACCGCCAGTGATGCCCTGGATGCCTCCATTGGCCCCCTTAAACTCCTGGGTGTGGATCTTTTCTGTACTCATCATCTGGAATGCTCCCCTGACCTGCTTGTTTGTCCCAGCAGCCACATCAACCTGTCCCCAGTCCAGGTCCTGGCACTGGTGTGTATGCGCGCGCGCGCGCGCGCGCGTGTGTGTGTGTGTGTGTGTGTGTGTGTGTGTGTGAGAGTGAGGGGGGGAGGGGTATGTACAGCAAGCATGTCAAACTCAAAGGCTAACACGGGCCAAATAAACAAGGTTTAAAAGAAAGAGAATATATATATATTTTTAAATCAAAAAAATAAAAAATAAAAAATAAATAAACAAGGTTTAAGTTTATGTGGACTGCAAAAAAACAAAAACTTCAATAGAAACGTAGGTTTATTTCGATAGAGGCATGCTGAATACAAAGGGCTGAAATAAATGAGTAATCGTTAACCTAAAATAATAGAACATTTTAATAAAAATTAATATTTTTTTCTTGAACATTAACTTACCAGATACTGAATAACTGCACAAATTAATAAGCGTCACACAAATAAACCTATTTTTCTTGTTCTCCGAAAGCGAAATATTTCCTGTTGTGCACACCAAACACGTCAGTACAAGACTAATGACTGCCTAATGACAGGCAATCGGCTGCTAAAATATTCGCTGCTAGTATTAGTGGAGAGAAGTGGTGCGCCTGCATGGAAGGCGCATAAGGGAAATGAATGCAACACGATTAAAGTAATCAGTCATTAGTGAACGTTGTAGTTCGTTATTAATAATTATGTATAACAGGATATTATAAAAATTAAGTTACGAAATTTTTATTAAAATGTCTCTTACATACCGTTATATTGGCTGGGCCGCAAAAACATTTGTTGTGGGCCGCATGCAGCCCACGGGCCGCGAGTTTGACATGTTTGGTGTACAGTGATGGTGTAGTCCCAGATTCCCTGTATTCCTGTATGTACTCACTAGCTCTGTGGCCTTGATCAAATTCTCTCACTTCTGTGTCTCAGTTTTCTCATCTGTAAAATGGGATATTAATTCATATTTCATAGAGCATGAGTGGGAAACAAGGTAATGTCCCTGGCATCTGGTACATTCTACCTTTCTGCTCTCCTCGCTGGTGTTTCTCCACAACACTTGTCTCATTTAGCCTTGCTAGTTTCCTTTTCTGCTGATTGTCCCTCCCCTCCAACTAGACCTTAGGCTCCCAGAGAATGAGGTTTTGTCTGCTTTGTTCATTACTGTACCTTCCACACTCAGAGCAGTGCCTCGCACAGAGCAGGCACTCGTGAGTAAGTGAGGAGCATAGACGGGCAAAGGCCTTAGAAACAGACTCAGGTTTGATCCCAACTTTCACAGGTAATTCCTTTGTGATCCTCGGAAAGTTACTCAACCTCTCTGAGCTTCCAGGATCCTCCTCTGTTAAGTGGGGGTAACAGTAGTGCCTAACACACAGGGTTGTTGAGAGGATTATATGAATTAATATTTTCAAAGTACTCAGAACCGGTACAGACTAAACACAATATAGTGTTTAGTAGTAATATTATTTATCAAATGAGTGAAAACAGGTGTCACCCCAAACAATGTGAGCAACTTGTGAGCAAGATCTTTGGTTCATTCCTCAAACCTTCCTGCTCCTTCTAATACAGACTTTTATACTTTTATGAATAGTGGATGGGCATTACACACACACTCACACACATATATGAAAGCACTATGTCTAAGTACAGGCACTGGGATATAACAGTGTATGCATCCCAGGTAGTGCCTAACGTGTAAGGTGATATTTCACTAAGAAATGAATGTCTGAAAAGTCTCCATTCCTTACAAGTCACCTCTTCAGAACTTACTTTATTTTAGCTTTAGTCTCCTCTAGGGTAGGAAGAAAAATGCATGGCTCACAATGCTTAAAGATTTCTCCTCCTACCCAGATAGAAGGAAGAAAATTGTCCAGGTCAGATTCTAACTCAGAAAAGTTAAAAACCATCCCTTGTGTCTGGATATTGTCCCTCCCACTCCCTTGCAGCAGATGCTGGTTATTTTGTAGCTGGAAGCCAGACTGCCTTGTTATGTCTCTTTTTGGGCCAAAGGCCTTTTGCCAAAATAGAGGTGGTAAAATACTAGGGGGTGGGGGAGGCCTCCACAGAGACAGCTGCCGGTCCAGTGCGTGGACAGATGGGCATCAGTGGGCTTGGTCGGGGCTCCCAGCCGACACCAGCCTCAGTGAGAATGTCGGTTGCCACTTGGAAGTGTGGTTCGTGGGTGGTTCGTACTATCAGGGCCCAACACCTAGCAGCTCTCCCATCTGCAGTGTGATTATGAGAGGAGCAGCCGTTTGGCTGGTGAGCGGCAGTGCGAGGAAAGGGGGCCAACCAAAAGGAGGAGATTGATCACAGCTTTCCTCCCCCTCTCCCCGCCCCCCATCCCCCCACCCCCGCCTGGAGGTCCCGGAAGTGTCCTCCTTTAGGAATGTTCCACTCTTAGGACAGGATGGGGACTCTGCTGAGGAGCTTAGAGGCCGTGTGGCTGGGTGGTGACCAGCACAGTAACCAGTCCAGGCACTGCCAGCCAGCTCATCGCTCCCCCGCCCTGTGTCCTGCCTGTCAAAGCGGGAGCGACAGGGTGGCCACATGACAGGGTTTGGGGGATTGTTATGAAATGACGCCTTTCAAGCGCCAAGCCCAACGCGGGACTCAATAGGACACTGGTGGTTTTCAAACCTTTCCAAAAACGCTATGCTTACCACCTGTCAGAATTCAATCTGAGACTCCCTCGCCCCTCACTGGCCCTCCCCCTTTGTAAAGTGTTCCTTTTAAGTCTGAAAAAAACATGCAAGTCAAACAAAAAGGCAGTGAGAAGTACTGTTTGTCCCCACTCCCACCCCCGTGACCTTAACACAATTCCCAGGGAAGCAAATAGCATTTAGTGAAACATTTCATTCCAAGGCCAACGCTTTTGGGTTTTGGGGGCTGTGTTTTTTCAGCTCCAACTGCAATTTGGGAACAAAGAGGGTGCTCTTCCCATCGGGAGTAAAGACGAGACTCTTTTAACTTATAAATCGGAGTTTTGTAAGGGGAGAGGAGGGGCAAAAATGAGTACCTGTTGTGTGTGATTAAAACTCAGGGAAGATTCTGGGCAAACAGACCAGCAGCGTCTGGGCCCCTGCGGACCACGCAGAGGTCCAAGCTGCTCCTGAGCAGGCTGGGCAGGGCTGGGACACCTGGTTGAATGTGGGGGCCTCTGCTGTGTGCACTGCTGCCCTGTATTGTTTCATTTTCACTCCAGGGGTCCTCCCCTACCTCTTGGGGATTCTGGGCTGTCACGCTCGTCCCTTTGAAGTGCGGCTCTAAAAATACAGGGAGGAAGGCGTCCTGGCCTCTGCCAGGCCGTACCTAGAGCCGACCCAGATACTACCTGCCGGGAAGAGCTCTGAGGTCTGTCCAGGGCTAAAGAAATCTGATAAAAAAAAAGGCAAGCTCCATATTGGGCGTTTTCGTCTTTGTTGTCTAATCCAACACTTTTGGCTTTTTTGTTTCTTCCAAACATTGCAGACCCCGTAGTTCTCCATAGATGTTAGCAGACACCACGTGCAGTGAACTGTGTCTGTGCCAATCCCAGCCAGTGTGTATGGCCCGGAACTGGCCCTTCCTTTATCTGCGGGGATCGCAGGGTAAATCTGATTCTGGAAGTACACGTGCCGTCGCTTCTGCTCTGGTTTTTTGGGCCCCACGTGCTTGTTTCATAGCGATTAGCATGGCTGTCGAGTGCTCAGGCTGCACTCGGGCCACCTGAGTTCCAGTTGTGCGGCTTCGGGCTGGTTCCTCGGCCTGAGCTGGTTCCTCAGCCTGAGCCGGTTCCTCGGCCTGAGCTGGTGTTGCTCCTCTGGAAAGTGGAAAGAGCAACAGTATCTACTTCCAGGTTTTGGGAAGATGAAAGCAGACAGCGGATGGACAGAATCATGCGAGTGCTACCTGGCCCAGAGAACGTGCTTAACATAGTGCAGTGATGGCGAACCTATGACACGCGTGTCATTTTTTTGGTTGATTTTTCTTTGTTAAATGGCATTTAAATATATAAAATAAATATCAAAAATATAAGTCTTTGTTTTACTATGATTGCAAATATCAAAAAATTTCTATATGTGACACGGCACCAGAGTTAAGTTAGGGTTTTTTAAAATGCTGACATGCCGAGCTCCAAAGGTTCGCCATCACTGATCTAGTGTCATCATTGCCCCCAGGTCTGAGCCCTAAGGCGTTAGTGCCTCTTGCGGATGGAACCACAGACCTGGGGGCTTAAAACAACACACATTTACTACTTTACTGTTCTGGGGCTCAGCAACCTAAACTGGGTCTCACAGAGTTAAAGTCAAGGTGCTGGCTGGGCTGGTTGCTCCTGGGGGCTGCGGGGGAAAGCCCACTTCCTGTCCAGAGAAGCTGGCAGTCCTCAGCTCTGTCCTGTCCTCAAGCCAGCAGGGAGCACCTTCCAGCCTCAGGCTCTGCTGCTGTCCTCACACCTGCCCTCTGGCCCTCCTGCCTCCCTCGCAGGGACTCTTATGATCACATGGGTCCCACTCAGAGAGTCCAGGTTGACCTGCCCATCTAAGATCCTGAACTTAACCACACCTGCAAGATCCTCTTGTAAGGTGACAGTCTCAGCTTCTGGGGACTAGGATTTAGACATCTTTGGGGCCATCATTCTGCCCATCCTACTAGTTCCCAGCCTTCCACTGTATTAGTGGCTAAGTGGGCATTAATTAGCCTCAGCTCCCCAAGTAAGACAGAGGGTAGCTGGGCTCCCACAGCGGAGGGACGAGTGGAGCACTGTGTGATGTGGAAGCTGGTGACCACCACTGACATCCCTGCTCCTGACCTGGAGGCTCCCCCTTCTTTGGTTTGTGCACAGAACCCCAGCAAAACCACCACGACAACAGTCAGCGACCTCAGCAAAACAGAGGAGAAAAAGCAAAGCAAGTCACAGCAGCTGAAGAAGGTTTTCCAAGAATACGGAGCCGTCGGCGTGTCGGTGCACATTGGAATCTCACTAGTCTCCCTGGGCATGTTTTACATGGTTGTTTCGAGGTGAGATTGCTGACAGTAACAAATGTTTGTTTTCTACTGTCATGGGAGGTTTTTTTGGGAATAATTACTTTCTGTCCAAGACTTTTTATTCATCTAGCTACTGTCATCACATTTTTTAAAATAATGTAAATCTCAGAGCCAAATCGTTGTCTCAGTGTATCCCCTTGCTCTAATAACTGTTTTGTTTTTGCCTCTTTGCCCTCCAGCGGTGTGGACATGTCAGCCATCCTGCTTAATCTCGGATTTAAGGAGTCATTGGTCCAGTCAAAAATGGCCGCGGGCACAAGCACCTTCGTGGTGGCCTACGCCATCCACAAGCTGTTTGCACCCGTCAGAATCAGCATCACCTTGGTTTCCGTGCCCTTGCTTGTCAGGTATTTTCGGAAAGTGGGATTTTTTAAACCTCCCCCTGCAAACCCTTGATGAACTCTTCAACTGGGGGCCTGGAGACCCCTTTCTGTTAAATTACACAATTCGGATTGATTTTAGGGTTGTAGGGATTTGTTTGTTTGTTTTGGGGAGCAGGGGCTACTTTCTGTGTTCTCATGGATAAGTTTTACTTTTGCCAGCAAAATTCGAGTGTTTAAGTAATTGTAATTTGTCTTGCTTTATAAATTTTGTTAGGGCTACTCACCATAGGGCTTATGTGCATTATCTAAAATGTCAGCGAAACATCACAAATGAGTCGTCATCGTCAGCTGTTAGCTTACTAGCTTACTTTAGAACTGTTCCTCTGAAAGATGGCCCTAGGGGTCCATCTTTGTTCACATTCTTAAGAGCAACGATTCATTAAGCTAATTTTAAAATTCCCTTTCCTCCAGTATTTGTGGTCAGGCTGCCTGCGGTTTAATATGCAATATTCTGCAGAACAGCTGCCAGTGCTGCCATTAATGAAGCAGAATTGAAGACTTAACAATATGTAATAATTAGCATCAACACCTTTACATTCGTTACACTTGTCTGAGGGAAAGGAAAACAAGTATTTCCGGTGTGTTTCCTTAGTCCCCAAATCCCGTCAAATCCAGATAAGCCGGGGCCTAGATCAGGTTGTTTTTCTCAAATTTCATGAAAGTAGGTCAGGGTCATTTGTCTCTGTCCAGGTGAAATGTGGAAACTTGTCCAGCAGTAATGGCGTCCTGTGGCTCCTGCAGCCCAGGTCCTCAGAGGATGTGGACATTGCACATATAGAAAGCTGAGACAGTCCTGGCCTAACCCTGTAGCTCAAACTCCAAACATTCCAGAACTGTCAGTGTTTACATTCTGTTGCTGCTTATATTTTTCAACTATGTTAAAATTATGTACAGTAACAGAAAGATTTTGAATCTCGCTCTAAAAAGGGAAGTTAGTAGCACTTGCTATACATGGAAGACAACTGTGAAATACAGGAGGCGGGGGAGGGAAGGAATGTCTCCATTGCCTGCCGTGGAGGAGCCGGCCTGTGGGACTCAGCATCAGTCCACGCTGCTGCTGCCCTCCAGGCTGCACTCACACTGAGCTCTGGCTCCACTCTGGGAACCGCAGTCTAACCAGTTCTGCCCTGGTCAAGGGAGTTAGTTGTGTTTCTCTTTCTGGCTCCCTTTTTTGCCCCCCATCTCCCAGTTTGTTTAATTACATTGGGACAATCAGAAAACTAAAGGTACTATATACTCTGACAGTCCTGATTTTATGATCTGGCTGTTGACAGTTCCCTAGTAATCCATGTCAGTCACTTCAGTTTTACAAATGTCATTATGGGACGAATTCCCCATTTCTAAGATCTCTAGAGTGGATCATTTTGTTGTATTCCTTTCAAAGCAACTAGCTCAGTGCCAAAAGGTTTTACCAGTTTCAGGTTGAAACTGTCTTTCTGGGACATCCACACAGCGGATCGAGATGCCCGATACTGGTTCGAGGTCACTTTTCATGTGGATCAGACCAGCATTTTCTTTTCTTTTTTTTAGTATGTTTTTATTGATTTTAGAGAAAAGGATAGAAACATCAGTGAGAGAGAAACATGATTGGCTGCCTTCTGCAGGCCCCCCACCGGGGATCGAGCCCACAACCCAGGTATGTCCTGACAGGAAATCAAACCCGTGACCTTCTGGTTCATGGGTTGATGCTCAACCATTGAGGCACACTGGCCTGGGAGACCAGCATTTTCATCTCATCTGTCTTTATTTAAACCATTGGCTTCGGGCTTCTAACCCCTTTCTATATCAAACAGATCCCTCGTAATGCCTATGCAAAAAAAAAAAAACCTGACTCCTACAGATTTAAGGGCTTAGATTTTAAACTTTGATTCTGTGTTTGGAGTGATGGGAGTGGACTGAAAGGGCAAGCAATAAAACTAATTATCACATCAAATAGCCATAGCATCTCTTCTAAGCCCTGACTCCACTCCTCTCCCATGGCCAGTGGTCAGAACAGAACAGCAGAACCGAGAGGGTGAGGAAATTAAAGGATCATTATGTCAGCTAACCAACAAGATCTACAAATGGCTTGTATTTTCACTGTTTTTATGCAACTAGAAATAAAACGGATGATCTATTTTTAACATGTAAAGCCATTGTTCACCTCTCATTTTTTTATCTAACAAAATGAGCAGCTTAAGTGCCGTGAAACAAACCTCTCTGTAGTTTATGAAACTTTGCTCTTCTGGTGAGCAATAATTGATGCTGATTATGAAGCAGCACTGTGTGACTATAATGGGCTATATTCTTGCTGTGTGCAATTCTGGTTGGGGAAACGGCAGAAGTTTAGCTACTATAACAGGTAAAGTTAGTCACGTCATATTAACTATAGCTGGGGTGGAGGGTACATGAAGTATTACTACTTTGGAAAGTTGGTTCAGCTCAAAGCTAATTGGACACTGCAGTTGTGTTTTAAAGTTGCCATGACTACTTCATCAACATTGATATGGAAGTGGGTGTTGGCCACTTCCTTATATTTAGGACATTTTTGATATTTAGTCTCTTGCATTGAAAGTTGGCCATGAAAGCATATTTGTCTACTAATTCTCAGTAAGTTCAACACTTCCACCTTTTCCTTCGTCCTTGTCAAGTTGACCATCTTTGGTTGATGAGCAGATGACGTTGGCAGCTAGAAACAGATATGTAACTGCATGTTAGGAGGCACATAGAACATGAGACCAAAAATGGGACAGACCTGCTTCTTGTGGCACCTGCTCATTTCCAGGCCAACAGTGAACAGGTGAAGTCACCCCCATACTCCAGACCCATGTTTGTGTATTTGTTTCAAGTGTACACATATGCTGTAACTCCAGTGTAATAGAAAAATAAGCCCCCCAGGTGTGCCATGGAGCCAGGTGACCGGGGAGCACAGAAAGAAGCCTCCAGCTGTGTTGAAGGGGCTTCCACTTTTATAAGCCACAGTGAACAATGGTCAAGCCCAGATCCCTGTTTGGGGAAGAATGAGAGATTCTGGTTAAGGGAACATTCCTTCACCAGAGAATCAAGACAGAGACCACACTTGGAAAGCCAGCTTGCAAAGAACCAGCTCACCCCGTGTATGGGCTCTTTGCCATCCTGCTGAGACCAGGTCAGAGCCCCGAGGTGGGCAGGCGGGGATGTGGATGCCCATGACTCCTCCCCCTATCTCCTGACCACCTGCAGCACTGGCTCAGAGCCCTCCTCCACTCAGTCCCTGTGCAGCCCGGGAGCACCCACTTCTGCTGAGTGACTGTCAGTCGAGTCCCCAGGATAAGGACCACCCACTGAGGAGTCCAGCTCCATGAGCTGGGCTGTCACCAAGCACTGCACTGCATGTCCACTGCCTAGAAAAGGAACTAACACTTCATGGGCACACGGCACAGTTGAAGGATGGAGGGCGCACCATCTGCCACGCGGTCACAGCCATAGCTCCCCACTCCCGTGCCATGTTTCCCGCCATCCTCCTTCAGCAGCAGGGACTTCTCACCACACCAGCCACCAACCTTTAAATCCTCCATGTCCTTCAAGTCTCAGATGCCACTTGCTGGGCACCTCTCCCAACTCCTAATTACCCCATCACAATCTGTCCCCTCCCGCCCCCCGCCCATGGTCAGTGGCCATTCTCCCAAGCTGTGTCCCCCACCACTGCAAGTGAGAGAATGGAGGTGTTCACATGCCCGCCTGGCTCCAGAACCTCAGCCTTGACACCACAGCCCTGCACAGGCCTCTCTGCCCCGCCTCCCCCGCCCCCCCCCCCCCCCCCAAGTCCCAAGCCAAGCCCAGCACTGCTCAAAGGGTGCACTGTGAGCTCCTGGAAAACACTATAATTTCAAGGTTATACACGAGAACTTGAAAAAAAGTAACCATTTTGTATGTCTTAATGTATTTATAAAAACAATATATAAACCATGAAAAAACATTTTTTAAAAGTACTTAACATTTAGAACTGGCTGAGACACTTCTCAACTGTGTTCCAAGCAAGTCCCATGATGGAGGAGGAGCCTGTGGTCCTGTTTCATAGAGTCTCAGGCAGGATGAGTGGTTGAGGAGGACTAGCTAACCGGCCCAACAGGGGAGACAGAGCATCCAGAAGGGACAAAGTCTATGCACATCTCTTTATTTTAACATTTAAAAGAATCACATATTCATTCTGACAACTTTACCAGGTGTGGCCACCCAGGAGGTTACACACCACGCAGGTACCTGGGAGGTTATTGCACAGCTCCTGAACTGATCGGGTCAGGACGAAGGGGCCACTCTGCCCACAGCCAACTCGGAGTTCACCTTCCACAAGGACCCTTAGTCCACACGGGCTGCAGGGCGGCGGCACTTGCACCTTGCCTCTGGAGGATAAAACCAGTGAAGTGAGCACGATTCTCGTGGCTACTTGCGCTTCCATGTCACGTTTATTGAAGTGGAACCTTCTATACTTTTCCCTAGCGCTGCGCATTGCGAGCAGGCAGTCGGTAGTAGATTATGTCAGGAGTGTGTTCTGACCACTGACACAGCAGCCCTGGCTCAGAGGCTCTCCCCCTGCAAGAGTCTTAAGATTGCTTGCTGGTTGATTCTTTGGATTTTTGGCTACTTGATGGTTTTGAGGAATTTGCTGTGATCCAGGGGTGTTCCAGTACTTCTTTCAGGGTCAGCCTTTGGTTGGGGTTATGCATCAACAGTCTTGAAATCAGGTCCCTGGCCCCCTCTCGTACAAAATCAGGGAATGTGAATTCAACCTGGAGTAAAGTAAGTGACAGGCAGTCACAAAACGTGGTTTAGAGAGAACAGTACAAACATTCAGACCGTAGCCTCAAGGGAAGGCTGACAAGGACAGAAAGGGCTCTAACAGAGGTGCTGGGCCCCTTCCAGTTGTGTCTTACCCGAGATATTCTTTTGTAGGTCTCTTGGTATGTGCTTGCCTCAAAAGGAGGCTTCCCAACCAAAAATTCATAGCAAAGAACTCCGAGGCTCCAGAGATCCACCTTCTCATCGTGCATTCGGCCTTCGATCATCTCCGGGGGCAGGTAGTCCAGGGTGCCACAGAGGGTGGTTCTCCTGGAAGAGGGAGGTGCAGGTTGCCCGCTTGTTTCCGTGATCACAGCAGCTGCTAAAATCATCAACAACTACCCTACCATTGACCGAGTGCTCTTCCTAGGCCAGATCCTGTGCTCTGAGACAGGTGCTGTTCTAAATCCCCACTTTACAGGAAACAGCTTCAGAGAGCTGGATAAGATCACAAGGCTAACAACCAAGCCACACCCCAAATCTGTCCAACTCCAGGAACTCCTTAAATGATGTAAAAATAAGAAATTTTAAGTATCACTGCTATATAAAGGCAGCCATACAAAGTTCTCTGTAAATACAATGTAGCATTTCTTACATCACAGATATGCTAAGAAGCTTAAGAGAGGTGACATTGATGACAAGAAACTAAACTGTCCCACTGTGACAGCACATGCTGCCTTCTGATACAGCACTGGTACAAGAGACACTAAAATTGGAGGGCGGCCTATGAAGTATTCTTGTTAAAAATATTCTCCAGGCCCTTTGGCCCAATTTCCAGCAAATACAGAGGATGAAAGACAAAACTAAGTGTCACCACATGCAGAAAAATCCATTTTAAGTTGTGGGGAAACTGGTCTAAGTTTAAACAAAAGAGACACAATCAAATATAATGCATGGTTCTTGGTTAATTCTGATTTAAAAGAACAGCTGTAAAATTTCGTGGACAACTGGAGAAATCTGAACATGGACTAAATATTAGCTATTACCACGGTTATTAATTTTCTTAAAGAGTGATGATGGCTGGGACCAGACAGGACAGCATCCTTATTTTTAGAAGATGCACACTGAAGTGCTCGAAGGACAAAGCATCATGATATATGCAACTTATTTTTGAAGGTTCACCAAAAAAGTAGACACAGCCCATATGGCAAAATGTTAACTGTTGAATGTAGGCTCTGGGCAGTGAGGTGAGCGATCAACTATCAATTCAGCATCTCTGTATGTTTCATTGAGTTTCCAAAGGCTAGAAATAAGCTAATGTGGCAGACAAACCTGGAGCAAAGACCGTGCTGATGTTTGTTGCTTTACATTAATTATTCTTTGCCAAAGAAAAGCTTGTGCTGGGTCATGCCTGGAGCCCAGCAAGCACACAAGTGTTCACTCAACTAAATGGTGACTGGAGACTAAGGAGCCAGCTCCCTAGACAGTCAACCCCTCTCATCACCACCGAGGTGCACAGTAAACAGCACCCAATGACCTGGGAGCCATTATGGTTATTAATGTTTGGGAGGTAGGGCAAAGTGACCAACATTTACACAAATGTCCTTTTCAGAAAAGAGTAAGTTATCTTTCCTGCCACAGTGATGTCACTGGATAGTTAAGGTAGAGTTTTAGCCCTGTGATGCCACAAAGCCTACAATTCTTCATTGTTTGCCTCAGCAGGTGCCAACAGCGTCCGGTGGTGATAGGCAACCAGATTTTTTTAAAAGCAGATTCGATGCATTGCTAGAAACAATTTACAAGTGGTGGGTAATAAAAACAAAGCTCACCCCATCCCATGGCACCTATTTAGGCTAGACAATTTCTTTTAAAAACTAGATTTTTTAAATTAAAAAAATAAAGTAAAACAGTTCTTTGAATTTTTTAAGTAATCGTGCTATAGCTTTTTAAGCCCTACCCCAAAGTGGACAAACTTCTATCAGTAAATATATGCTTGTAAATGTTCTATTTCACATGTGGTTTCAAAGGCTTATTTAAACCCAAATTAAATTTAAAAGAGTAGAGAACTTTGCTCTGGTTTGCAAAGTTCAGTTAAGATTTAAATTGTTTCCTTAGGTTGATCTCTCTGCTTTAATTTTAAGAGAAAACAAGAAAGGATGACAGCAGACCAAAGAACATCTTTAACCACCACCCTGAAAGTTCCCTTCAAACCCATTTGGTTGTTGGCATTCCCGCAGAATTGTGCCCTCAGATCCAGACCTTGGCAGGTGCTGCCCCGCCCCAGAGAACTTGTCATAGTATGTCAGGCGCACTCCCCTCTACACATCCTGTACCTCCTCTGTCATATACCTGTTGTATCTGTTTACTTACCTCTCCCGTTCATTAGCCGTTAAGGACATAAACTGTCTTTAATCCCAGGCCTAGGACACAACAAATAGTCCAAGTGGTTGCAGAATTAAAATGTCCTGGGAGACACTATTTTACTATCGGGGCCTAAATTACTCCAAAGTATTATGTCAGTTACCTGTCCCAATTCAGCACAACACCTATGCTTAGGTACTTTACTCTCTAGCTCAGCCGTGGGCAAACTACGGCCCGCGGGCCAGATCCGCCCGTTTGAAATGAATAAAACTAAAAAAAAAAAAAAAAAGACCGTACCCTTTTATGTAATGATGTTTACTTTGAATTTATATTAGTTCACACAAACACTCCATCCATGCTTTTGTTCCGGCCCTCCGGTCCAGTTTAAGAACCCATTGTGGCCCTCGAGTCAAAAAGTTTGCCCACCCCTGCTCTAGCTCATGCTTGGCCACTGGGGCTTTTGCTAACCCCAACAAGTTCCTCCTCAAGTTACATACCTGGAGGATGGGGCATGTACAGACCACCCAAAATCTGCAATCTTAAGCTCTCCAGTTGATCCAAGGAGCAGATTCTCTGGCTTGATGTCTCTATGAATAACTCTCTTTGAGTGGCAGTATGACAGGGCATTTGTCAATTCTGTGATATACTATCAAAAAAAGTATTAAAATCGGTGTTTTAGATTTCATATAACAAGTTAATTTTAGACATGTTTTCTGAAAGAAAACCCAACATAGACTTTTAACATGTTTTGTAGATTTTAAAGCAAAAACTAGAACCAATTGATGACTCAAAAAAAAAAAAAATCAATTGAACCAAATTGGTGTTCAGCATGAAGTACAAGTTATTCAGCGCAAGGTTATTTATTTGCTAACACAGCAGATGGGACATCGAAAGACAGGAAAAACAGTGATGGGCTATAACTACATCCCCACATGACAAATTATGGCCCAGCAATTAAGAGAATACTGAACAACCAGTACAAATGAGGGAGTCAGACATAAACAATTTTTCCAAAACACCAAAAAAAAATCTCTCAAGTACAGTCTATTCCCATTTTTAAAACCAAGATCAATTTGCAACAAAATGATTTGTTTGAAGCTAAACATTTGCACTAAAAATATGGGGGGAGGGGAGTAAATAATCCTGAACAACAGACAGAAACTAGAAGCAGGTATAGTATTGGCATGTTAAATTCAGGATAAACTAATTCATTAGCTTAAGAGTCCACAGCTGTCAGTCCTGTTGTTAGTTACCACCTCAACCAGAATGTGCTTTAACAGGTAGATAAGAACTGTTATTAGTACTGTATACTGAGAAAATGTATTTAGCTCTGGCTAAAGTTTGAGAAGCCTTTGTTTTCCAAAAGCTATTGCTAAACAGGACTGAACATTATTCCACACCAAAAAGATTTATTAAACAAATGGGCAAAAACCAAATGTCATTATCAGAAGATATTTTTCATTGTTTCAGCCAAAAGCCCAAGCCAAAATTTACACGATAATAAATTGAAAGTAAAGACAAAAACTTTTCTACACATTAGAATTGCAAAGGGCAATGGGCTTTCCTTTCAATAAGTGAAGGGACACCTGAGGTATGTCCATACAATGAAATATTATGCACCAATAAAAAGAAATGAGCTGCCGAAGCCGGTTTGGCTCAGTGGATAGAGCGTCGGCCTGCAGACTGAAAGGTCCCAGGTTCGATTCCGGTCAAGGGCACGTACCTGGGTTGCGGGCACATCCGCAGTGGGAGATGTGCAGGAGGCAGCTGATCGATGTTTCTCTCATCGATGTTTCTAACTCTCTATCTCTCTCCCTTCCACTCTGTAAAAAATCAATAAAATATATTTTAAAAAAAAAAGAAAAGAAAAGAAATGAGCTATGTCAACCCCTGAAGAGATACAGATGAAATCTCAAATGCACACACTAGTTGTTTCCCACAGGAGAAGCTGGCTAACCATTCTGATACCACCATCCATGTACACAAGCACTGAATAATTAAACGGATGGAAGACGGTGGAATCCAGGTTTCCCAACATTGGAGTGGGAGGTTACAGAAAAGCAAGGAGGGTAGAATGATCCCCACGTAATGGACACGTACTTTGCTGAATACAGATACAGATGGAAAATGTAGATGTACTAATAGACACATGTATACACAGATTAATTTACACATGCTTCCTTGTCTCTGTCAGCTGAAGTAATGACACCAGTAGCATGAGCACACCCAGCACCCAGATCTTGGTTTCTAGTAACACATTCCAATAAAAGGAACCGGGGCTCCTGGGAGAAACGGTAATTCTGGGCCTGGGATAGGAAATATGGAAGATGAGGCTAGAGCATCTTGTAGTGTCAGAAAGCTTAAAATAAAAATAAAATAAAAAACACTGCACCCCCACAATGATGAGGGATGTCAAAAACACAGGAACCATGTGAAAGAGCTCCCAGTGGACAAAGCTGGAACAATTTGAGCAACAAAATAAAACAGTATTGGATTGTAACTCATAGTATAAAATACTGATGAGTCCATACTAACAAGTGACTCAGTAAATACATAAGGAGAATTCAAAATAATTTTTGTAGATGCCTGCCCCACAGGAGGTGGAACATAACCCCGCTGTTTAAGTGTGGCTGTGCATAGAGCCTTCCTGTGAAGGAGCACAGCATGGAAAGGGAGAAATGCGACAAACACGCCCTCAGCCAGGTGATTAAGGCCAACACCACCGTGATAAGTCGCTGTGTACCCTTGATATGGAATGAGAACACGTTTTACCTCCATGATCTTCTCAAACACCCACTGACCTAGTCTAACCATAAGAAAAACAGGATATCTGAACAAGTATGAACTTCAGTTAACAGTGATGTATCAATATTTCTTCAATTTAAAAAAATTTAAAAATATATTTCTTCGTTATGATGAATGTACCATACTAATGTAAGATATTAATAGGAGAAATTAAGTGTGTATTACTAATACAGAAAACAGATCTGTACTATCTTCTTAATTATTCTGTAAATCTAAAACTATTCTAAAATAGCTCATTTTTTTAAAAAAGGCCACTATTTATATACATTTCCACAGAAAAACAGCTTTGAAAACAAACCAGCCACAACATTCTATCTGGTACCTGATTTTAACTGTATATATGGTACAATGATTGATTTTTCCACTTCAAATATTCAATCCTATTAAGCTATCAGTGCATTCAATAGATCCACTCTACTGTAATGGAAGGCACATGGCACTGGCTGGACAGTAAACAAGCACTTACAGTAGCAGTTCTCTGCTCATCAAACCTGGACAGTTTCTGAAGTTCTCTATAGACAGTTCCAAGAGGTGCGTATTCCAAAATTAGGTACACTCTGGTGGCATCATGGAAATAACCATACAGCCTGAGAATGTTTGGATGCCTGCAACAAAAGGTGAACACTCAACACCTGGTTTTAAAGCAGATACAAGACATGTGCTCAATACCAAACAAACTCTTTTTTTTTTAAATATATTTTACTGATTTTTTACAGAGAGGAAGGGAGAGGGATAGAGAGCCAGAAACATCGATGAGAGAGAAACATCGATCAGCTGCCTCCTGCACACCTGCCACTGGGGATGTGCCCGCAACCAAGGTACATGCCCTTGACTGGAATCAAACCTGGGACCCCTGTCTGCAGGCCGACGCTCTATCCACTGAGCCAAATCGGTCAGGGCCAAACAAACTCTTGGTGTAAAACCAGCGGTAAAAGCTGGTTCTGGTCACAGGACCCCCCTCCTCACACCCCAACTTGAGAATCTGAAACTATAGACTTCACTCTAAGAAAAATACACATATCCACATATCCGTTTACATGCCTTTCAAGGGATTTGTGGAACTCAGGTTTACCCAAGACTATTATTTCCTTCCTTTAAGCTGTCTTTATTCTTAGGGGGGGAAAACTTGGCTAACTATCAATTCCCTGCTAATTAAAAGAGATGCAGCATTCCCACAGTAACTGGATACCGAATGCTACAACAGCTATAAAAGCGGTCTTCAAGAGTGACAAACGTGTGCAGCTGAGAGTACAAGTACAGCCCATCAGAGCCATCAGTCCTTCTCAACCCCAGCCAGGTGTTGCGAAGTAGGGATACAGGCATGATACAGACAGATGTTTAAGTATTACCAACTGATTCAAGTTTGAAAAAAACACTGGGGGGAAAAAAAGACTCTGGCCAAAGTCAAGCCTGCAAACTCTGCTCACAATTCCGAGTAAGAGTTATCATTCCCCATATTACCCACCAAAAAAATCACTCCATTAACATAAACCTCCAAGATATTTTTCAGGCCCACAGCACATAAGTCTACAAAAATCTTCGGAAAATGACATATTCCATCACCCTCTGCAGGACAATGAGGCAGGCAGGCCTTCTAAGAAGCAGTTCACAGTCATTTATCTTCACTTGGAGTTCTGTGCACCACTCTTTGGGAGATCCCTGAAAACTCACCTAAGGTGGGACTGTATCTCTACTTCTCTTCTTATCTGATGCTCCACGCCTGCTTTCTCCAGCTGGGCTTTGAATAAGACTTTCAGAGCCAGGATGAACTTGCTCTGTTTTTCCCTCGCCAGGTACACATTTCCAAACTTTCCTTTACCCAGAGGGCGACCAATTTCAAAATCTTCCAAAGTCCATTGCCTTCTAGGAAGAAATGTGATCATTTTAAAATATCAAGAAAACAAATCTCTTCTAACAATTAATGAGTAGTAGACACACCCCATATATAATTTTATATTTTTCAGAATGTACCATCTGCCAGAACCAAGACAATACCATGATTAATGAGGCACCACAGACATTAAGTCCCTCACACCCCCACCTGCCTGCCACTGGCTGTGAGTCATTGACAAGGAATAATGTAGACATTAGTGCTGAAACACTCAATGGCATTTCAGAAGGCACACAGACCTTTGAACAACACTAAGACCATAAGAGGGATTAGGTTACAGAAATGGCCAGGGAAGAATGCCTCCACACCATCTTGGGCTGCTTGCAAACTAACCACAGCCTCCTCTCCTCAACCCCCTGGGACATGCTAACACTCTGAGGGCTGGAGAACCACTCTGGTAAAGCAAGAGGGATGGATCCCACAGGGCATTTAGGGGGGAACCATTAGATTCTCAGAAAGTCTCCGCTAGGCAGCTAAAGCAAAAAAGTGTGTGTTCATTCCTGCTCCGACCATGTTCTAGAATCTAGACCAGCGGTTCTCAACCTATGGGTCGAGACTCCTTTGGGGTCGAACGACCCTTTCACAGGGGTCGCCTAAGACCATCGGAAAACACATATATAATTACATATTGGTTTTGTGATTAATCACTATGCTTTAATTATGTTCAATTTGTAACAATGAAATTGGGGGTCACCACAACATGAGGAACTGTATTAAAAGGTCGCGGCATTAGGAAGGTTGAGAACCACTGATCTAGACAGTTCAGAGATTGACAGCAGGCTTTTAGAAACTATCTGGGGAAGACACCATAGCCATACTTTGTTATAAGGAACACAGTAATTCTACGAACACTGTCAAAATACACAATCATATATATACAGCCCTACAACATGACCCTGTTTTTTAAACAAAACTTGTATATATATATATATATATATATATATATATATATATATATATATATCTCACCAGTGATTCCCAAAGTGGGCGCTACCGCCCCCTGGTGGGCGCTGCAGCGATCCAGGGGGGGGCGATGATGGCCACAGGTGCATTTGTTTTAACTTTTTTTGTATTACCTTTCTATTCTGAGTTCAATAGTTTCATAATTTCAAACTTCAATGTTTCTAATTTACACCTTTCCTTTCTATATTTTACGAAAAAGGTAGAAACATTAATACATATATCTTTCTGTTTAATTGCTATTAAGATTTTTAAAAAATTAATTTCCAGGGGGCGCTGAGTAATGTTTTTTCTGGAAAGGGGGCGGTAGGCCAAATAAGTTTGGGAACCACTGTATTACACAAACCATATGCAGTGGTTACTTCTGAGGGTAGAAAGAAACTTTATTTTACACGTTTCTGTAACAAATTCACACAAGCTTTTTCTAAAGTTGAAAAACTTGAGTTTCTAAGTTAACATCCATCATTAAAATCCCTCCTCTTTTATAATTAGAAATGTTTATATTTTCAAAGTTACAATATAAAGACCTTTTTATTTTTAGAGTTCCCGAAATTAAATTTGCAGTGAAATGGTGTTTTCTAATAGAATGATAGCACAAAACTTGTAAATAAGTAAAGCTTACTTTTTTGATTCTTCGTTTTTCTGTTTTGAAGCCACTTCCTTTTCAGAATTCTTTCCTACACAGAATAATTTAAAAACCTGTTTTTAGGATAACTATACAGAATAAGTTAAAAACCTGAGAACAGAAGTAAATCAAACAATGATCACCAAAATATTCATGATCTGGCCATTTTTAGTTTTCTTTATAGAAAAAGACTACCACAGCATAAGCCGACCGCCACCCTGTGAAGTTCACAGATTTCTAGAGTAAAGATGAGAAGACACGTATAGTTAGGCCTTCCAATAACGTGAAGGCTCCAGACTGAAGATTCTCCCCAAAGCCTGTTTCCAAATGAAGAGCTTCTAAGGCAGAACAGTCTTCCATCCATGACAAGCTCTCCCTGGTCACCTTTCTCCCATGAGGTGGCACAGCCAGCTGTCCATATGCTGCATACAAATAAGATCAACAATGTGCACCCAAACCTAAACCGCTACCTGCCTTTCACGCTACTCCTTGTCAGGGGAAACACAGAACTAGAAGCCACCAATTCAGCAAGATGTACGACAAACCAATGGCACAACAGGGTGCTAATGTTGCTATTTCACCAGCCAGAGGCTGTGGGACGTTGCCTCTTGTCTTTCTCTGGCACTTCCAACTCTAGCAGCAGCACAGCATGGTCTGCTCAGATATTCGAATGCAGGGTCCAGCTGGTTTTTCCTTCCATGGTTCACCATCTCAGCTCATGCCATCAATATAACCAGCCTCTCCATGTCGTTTACTTAATGCTTCTGCGTCCCAGCTTCCTCCTCTGTAAAACTGGGTTAATGACTCTGACTACCTTCCTGGAGTGGTTACGAGGATTGAAAGACAAGGTGGATGAAGAAAGCACTCATCTCAGAGCCTACTGTGTGGGCACTCAAGAGATGGTAAATAGGAACCATTACTATCCATCCTGCCCCTCCCCACCCCCGACCCCCAGTTCAGGCCTCCCTACCATCCTGCACCCCTGGGTGCAGCATTGCTACTCCAATGCATTCCACACCTCCAGATAAGCTCTCTACAAGGCACGTCAGTCCCTCCTCTGCTCACAAACCTTTCAGCAACTTCCCAATGCACAGGGGATGAAGCCCCACTGCTGAGCACCACCTATAGTGCCCACAGTAACCTTGGCCCAGCCTGCCTCAGCCCATCCACTTTCCCCCGATTTCCTCCATGCCATGAACCTTGGAACTTGGTTCCTCAAATGTACCATGAGGGTAGGAACCAGGTCTTCTTCCCACAGGCCTGGCCCACCGAGAACTGTTACTTCAACCTGATATCAAATCTCCTCCCCAATCTCAATAGAAATTATATAAAGGCTATATCAAACAATATAAAATACAAGTCTATACACTTGTCTTTTTTTTTAAGCTAACTAGAAAGCATGACTACACAATAAGTCTCAAAAAGCTGATTTACCAGGGGCTGGTGGCTGGGGCTGCTCACTCTTTTGCGTATTATTCAGTGGTCTGGACACAGGGCAAGGGCCACTGGTTGCCTGCAACTGCTTCTGCTTCAGATTCAGAACCGGTTTATGGCTGGAGACAAGCTTTTGTGCTTTTGAAGGAACTTGCTGGGAGGAATTCGAAGGACACAAGACCCGCTGAGCCTGGCCACTATTTGCAGGTAACGGATACTGAGAAGGAAATTGCTGAGTCACCAAAACACGTTTTGGACCATCACCAGATGGTATTGTAGTCTAGGTTAGGAGGGAAAAATAAAAGAAGCTTCAAGGTCTTCATAAACAAAAGCTGAATATCCTGAGAATTTGTTTCTGGTATAACAAAATAATGAGTGTCAGGGTAAGAGATGGAAGAAAAAAGCTATTTTAATCAGCACTTCTAAAGGACAAGGTTGGTATATGGCTGAAAGGAATACCTGAATGGCACTTCCTAATCCCTCCCCAGCCCCACCCTAAAACCATGCTCCCATAAACCAATGTTCATTAACTAAACTTCCATTTAAAGAGGAAGACAAACACTTCCCAAGAATTCAGTGACTTGGGAATTATGATTTAGCAAAAAGCTGCAATACAGAAACTTTACTAGTATACCAAAGTCCCATTTGCACTGAAATTTCTTTGACAATACATGTTTAGAAAAAAATGGGGGGGAAAAACACCTCTGACCCAGAACCCGGCTCATAGTGGAGCCCTAGGAAACATCCACTAACATCTGTTTTGACATTCCTCTGAATTTACACTCCCTGAATTCAGACCAGACCAAACTATGGCAAAGAAATTAATTTCTGGCCAGCAAGTACAGGCAAGCATTAGGCTTCTATTGTGTTCATTATGCTGCATACAATGGAAAATACAGACTTGAATAGGTAAGTATAAGACAAAATAGAACAAAACAGATACAGTGAGAGAATCAACAAAATGTTCCTGAATGCTGAGAAAAGTGGTCTAAAGTTACAAATCCAAAGTGAAGGTGAGAAGAATTCCAGATAGAAGACCGATCTCCATTTGGGTTTTATAAACGTGACTGAGGTTACAGATTATTCAGTTTACCTTAACCAGCCCTGAAATGCCGTTTTCTTTAGATTTGTCCATGATGCCTGAAAAGAAAAAAGAACCTTTAATTTATACCTGTTATGCTAGATCGGGGTCCTAGCCTCAACAACACACAGAATTTTACACTTTTTCTTTGTCCGAATGAAGCTGACAAGAGGGCACTGTTTTCTCATGAGACATATGTTCAGGTGTGGGCCTTTCCCATAGACCAACCTCTCCCCTGGTGCTGTGCACTGCGTCCCATCCCGTCCCAGCCAGTCTCCTCCCATCACCTCCCCACCCTCCCCTCCCCTTCTTGGTACACAAACTTCACTCCTGAACTGACTCGTCCCTCTGCTCCATCATCTCCTCTCAAATGATCACTTTCATCAGTGTTCAAGCCTACTTCTACACCTGCTACCTTCATTAAAAAAAAATTCTCTTTACACTCTAACTGAACTCAAGGTATGACCACATCTCCGCCTCCCCTTTCAACAGCAAATCTCTGGAACAGTTGTCCACGCTGATCATCTCTACTACCTACTACTTCTCTCATCCTCCTGGAGCCCACTCCCCTTAGCCCACCTCATAACTAGCCCCTACTGTCCAAATGCCCAGGTCAGTT